AATGTGAATTTATACACTGTATTACTCACTCCATTTGGACATTGAATGAAGACCAGTGCAGAAGGTAATTGTAAATTGATGCAAGGGAACAAGTACAAAGGCAAGGTCAAGGAGAAATTAAAAGCAGGGGAGAGCTGATGACAGAGAAAGAAGTGAAGGAATAGGACACGATGTATGCTTTTTCCTACCAAATACATCTTTTCTCCAAATCTGCTCTGTCCTGTGCAGGGTCTGGAACAAATAGGTAGTCCCATGACCTGTTCAGCATAGTTACAAATAAAGGTGTTTTTTCCCTTCATAAAACTAGGAAATAGTGCTGTATTGCTGCTTGCCATCAGCTCTTGCAGGATGCCTGACATGTTGATACGTCAGTTGGTGTGCATCTGTGAGTGCTTTCTAGCCCATTTCAGTCGAAAGGAGCTAGTTTATATTAAACTATGATTATAAGATCCTTGCTAGCACAGGTGACTTAAAAAAAAAAACCAAAACAAAGCAAAAAAAAACCCAACCAAACCCAAGATGTATTTTTAAGCTATCAACACATATGAGTGATAATCTCTGGCAGAGAGAAGCTTGTGAACAGTTTGGGATCGTTATCTTTTTCCGTTGGCACAGATAATTTTGAAGGAGAACAGCTGTCTGGAGCCTGGCCATGAATTAGCCAGCTTTATCCTGCAAATATTTGAACAAAATAAGGAGGCTTATGGAGGTGTGAAGGGATGCCAAACCCTGATGGACTCGGCTAGTGGCATTGGGTATGGATGCAGCTGTTTTGACAAGACTAAGTCTTTTCGGTGTATGTGTCAGTAAACACAAATGCTCTAAACTGAACTGTAATTGCACTTTCAGAAATGAAACAAACAGGCCTCTCTTGTTTGAGATCCTGAAGTGGGGGGGTTTTGTTTGGGGGGGGGGTTGTTGAACTTTTTCTTTTGTTTTTCTTATTTTTCTACTTAGTAAGAGGCTCCTCAAACAGGAGGCGGTTGGGAATGATGAATGGCTTGAACATTTCAGGATAGTACTTGGGTTGTTATACTGTCCTTTCTAACAGAGTTTTGGAAGGAAGAAGTGAGCTGACTTCTCAAGATTGCCCTTCAGCATAGCACTTTTTTGTGTAGGTATAGTGAGCATCTTTTGAGTTGACTTTAAACTTTAAAATCATATTCCCTTCACTAGTAAAATTCCATCAAGTTCACAGTTTAAAAATGCAAAGTATTGTGGGTTGAGTATCAACATTCTAATTGAAAATAAATATGAAGTGATAACTACACAAGTCATATAATCACTGTTGTTACTGAGGTTTACTTGTAACTTTCTGACTTTATTCTTGGTATTTTCAAATTATTTTTCTTTGGTTCTGTATTTAACATTTGTACCTCATGTACTTGCTTTTAATACAGACAGGTTTAAAATGATCAGCATGTACAAGCTTGTGTTTGGTATTAAATACTACATGAATACAAATTAATGGTTTGAATCATTTGTAACTCCGTAGTTTTCCCTGTAATGAAAGAAAGTCTGTCTGAGGTCATATCTGTGCAAAGGATATTTAGGTATATTGGAGAGGAAATGCTCACTTGACTTGTAGGTACGTCGGATAAATGTCACTGATATTTTAGCCTGCTTTACTAGGCAACGTCAGCTCGAGAGTTCAGTGTATTTACTTGGCCCGGTGTTTGTCCAGTCAGCATGTTCATACTGACCAGTTGACATAACTGTCATTGAGAACCAAGTGCAGCCAGAATGTAGGTGGTATTGTCAGAGGATTTAGGGAAGTGCAGAGGACGTTGGAGGTGAGTTAGAACATGTACTACACTACACGTGTTCCAGTGTTCATGAATCGTAGAATCGATGGTTGGAAAAGACCTTTTAAGATCATCAAGTCAACAGTTACCTAACTCCACCATGCCCACTTCTAAACCGTGTCCCTGAGCACCACATCTGGATGCCTTTTAAATGCATCCAAGGATGGTCATTCCACCACTTCCCTGGGCAGCCTGTTCCAGTCTTTGATAACCCTTTCAGTGTAGAAGGTTTTCCTAATGTCTAAACTAAACCTCGCTCTGTGCAACTTGATGCCATTTCCTCTTACCCTGTTGGTTGTAACTTGTGAGAAGAGACCCACACTCACCCCTCTCCTTTCAGGTTGTTGTAGGGAGCTGTAAGGTCTCCTCTCCAGCTCCTTTTCTTCAGGCTGAACAACCCCAAGTCCCTCAGCCGTTCCTCATAAGACTTATTCTCAAGACCTGTGAGACAATGTAGAGGCAGAAAAACATCAGATTGATCAGTCGGTGAAAACAGGGATTCAAACAGAATTTGCTGTTTCTTCCTTCCCTCTCCCACCCTGTTCCTTACAAAACCGAGTTAAAAATTGACTGGTGTGTGTATATTGACGTTTATTTTACAATGTAGCATTAGTCATTATCAATGTTTGAAATAAAAATTATGTCACGTATCAAGATAGTTTGCATTTATTTTAGCTAAAATATTGTACACAAATGCTCACATACCTCTACATTTCTCAAGCGAAGCAGGAGTTAAATCCCTCCTCACTCAAGCACTACAGGTAAATGTTTAAAGTTTGGGTACAGTTGGTTGCTCGGTTGTGGTACTACTGCTCCTTAGACGTGTCAGTTCAGTTAAAACTGTCAGTTCTACCACCAAACAATATTTATTGTAGCATTTATTGTGAGAGGTTTCCTAGGAAAAAATACCCCCCTGCTTCTCGGTGCAGCTGTGTAGTGTATTTTGCTGCTGCCAGTGCGAGGTGGTGGCTGTGCTTTGGGCTCGGTTCTGAAGGCAGTCTGTCCCCTCCTGCCTGTCTCATCTCCCTGCCCTTGCCCATGCTGCCACCTTCCTTGTGCTGCCCCACAGTTTGTGCAGCAGGGTGGTGAGCTGGTCACCCTCTGCTAACACGGCAGCACCGCAGTTCTGAGCTGTGGGGATTTTTCTCTGGTTATTTTTTTTCCTCTGCTTGGCTACAAAACTTCTTGTACTAACAGAAGAGAGACGGTAATTCAGGGAGAGGAGCAAGCAGACTGAGGCAAGCCTGCTGCTTTTGATGAGCCTCTGGCTTGCGTGAATTACTGTATTCATAGCACAGCTAAGAGGATATCGAGTGAGATTCTGCATGTTTGCAAAGTCTTCTCATGCTAAAAAAACCACATGGGTGATAAACTCCTGAGTGGTTTTTAATTGAAATCAGCCCTGCATTGTTCCTGTGATTTTTCACTGTGTAATCTTGGCAAACCGTTAGGGTTTACACGGAGCGCAAGTAGAGAGAATATAGACTAACATGATTACACTGCTGTCTTTTGATTTCTTGCAGCCTCTTGTTCGTGAGCTGAGAGTGACAGATGGCGACAATTGAGTTTCTCGAGGCTGTTCTGTGGCACAGCTATGAGTGAGGCTCTAGGAGAGATGTATGCAGCATGTCAGCTAGTTTGAGCAGTGTTTCCTGGCAATAAAAAATAATTAAAACTGAAAATTTATGGATTATGTTCCAAATTCTGGAAAAGGTACTCCAGTCATACAGATCCTTTTGCTGTCATGTTTTTTTCATCTCTCTGAATTACTTCAGAGAGGATGAGGCTTCAGCAAGGGAGAAGAACATCATGATCGTACATAATGTTGGAAGGCTGGAGTCAAATGGGATTAGGACATTGTTTGATAAACAAAAATGAGGGATTTATATACTCAAAGATCAGGAAAAATTTACGTTAAACTTTTGATAAAGAATCAGAGATTCATTTCGGTTGGGAAAGACCCTGAAGATCAGTGGGTCAGATTGTAAACCTAACACTGTCAAGTCCACCGTTAAACTTTGTCCTTAAGCACGTTGGCTACACATCTTTTAAATGCTTCCAGGAATGCTAAATCAAAAGAGATAAGCAATGACATAGAAGGAAAAGAAACAATAAAAAGCGCAAATCATTTTACTTGGCAGTAATTGTGGAAGAGCTGCATCTTTGTGTTATTTCATGTAGAATGGTTTGGATCCTGATTAGAGCAGCTCCTGATGACTGCAATGACAGGAATCAAGGAAATTATTCTGTTGCAGTATGTTGACAATTTGTCAAGATGTAACAGTCTTTAAGTTATTTTTCCACCCTTGGACCATTCTCTTTATCTGTGGCGAAAAGTGTGGTATTTTTGAACGTACGCCTGCGTGGCTTGCGCAGTTGGTGTTCACCTGCAGCAGCTGAAGGAGTTCGCTGTCCTAGGCTGTCCGCCTTTCTGTGCTCCTAGACGAGCAGTGTGTTCCCTCCTGAGCAGCTGTAGTTCATGGCCTGCATAATTAAGAGAAACTGAGATGAACTGGACTGGGTTGTGGACTGTAGCAGCCAGAGTATTCCTGAGGAGTACAGTACTTGAAAATGACACAGAATCCCAGACCGTTAGGGATTGGAAGGGACCTCCAAAGCTCATCCAGTCCAATCCCCCTGCCGGAGCAGGAACACCCAGATGAGGTTACACAGGAAGGCGTCCAGGCGGGTTTTGAATGTCTGCAGAGAAGGAGACTCCACAACCTCTCTGGGCAGCCTGGTCCAGGGCTCTGTCACCCTCACTGAGAAGAAGTTTCTTCTCCAATTTCAGTGGAACCTCCTGTGTTCCAGTTTGTGTCCGTTACCCCTTGTCCTATCATTGTTTGTCACCGAGAAGAGCCTGGCTCCATCCTCGTGACACTCACCCTTTAAATATTTACAAACATGAATGAGGTCTCCCCTCAGTCTCCTCTTCTGCAAACTAAAGAGCCCCAGCTCCCTCAGCCGCTCCTCAGAAGGGAGATGCTCCACTCCCTTGATCATCTTTGTAGCCCTAAAATGACCTAAAATACTCTGTGTTTTCTGAGCCTTTAAAATACTTGTGTTTGCTGTCTGTTTTTACTTTGAAGGTTTGCTTTTGTGCAGTTTTTGTAAAATCTTCTACATTGACTTACATGTAGTTTCACTACACAGAAGGAAAAACTAAATGTTATTTTTATTACTTACAGTAATTAAACATTTGAAGCCATGGGAGTAAAGGTCCAGAGACCTCGTTGCTTTTTTGACATAGCCATCAACAATGTACCCGGTAAGAAAATTAAAATATTCATTCAGTAACGTGATATTCTTATAAGATATGTGAGAATAACACAAATACCAGCTAACTTCATAATAAATGTGTCTCTTTTCTTTCTAGCTGGAAGAGTGGTCTTTGAACTGTTTTCAGATGTGTGTCCAAAGACGTGTGAGAATTTCCGCTGCCTTTGCACAGGTTTGTAGATTTTTAATTTTTTAATTTTTTTTTAAAATGTAATACTATGTTAGCTAGTTTGATGTCTGTTGTTTTTCCTGACATTTTCTTACATATTAAAATAAATATGTAAGACATTGGTGCTTGGTACCTCTAGAGATCTATCTGACTTCTCATCTGTGTCTGGTGTACGACCAAAGCAGTTGTAGCTTTGGCTTAGTATGTTGCAGGGAGCATACACTAATCAACTTTAAATACGGACACAGTAAGCGGATTTTCTGTTACGAGCATGGGTATTACTGTCCACATTATGTAACATCACCCGGACCTGAGAGGTGCCCAGTAAGAGGTCAGCCATGCAGACTGACTTTTCAATCCTATGATATTTTGAGGTATTTAAAAGGTATTGCTGGTATTCATTAGTTGTTGTGGTTTTTTTTTCTTCATTCTGGTTTTTCTTTGTTGATAGAGACTGGTGATTTCTACTCCTGTTGAAATTCAGATTATTTCTTGAACAAAATGCTGAGAAGATTTTCTCCTGGAAGCATTTACAAACAGAATTACTGTCCTGTGCACTGCATGCTTTTGTTGATAACGCTGAAAGTTTAGCAAAACTTAAATTTATTACCACAAGAATAATCTTGTGAATACATAAATAGCATGCATGCTTTCTGTCTTCAGCATTTTCTGCTTCCTTTCCTTCCAGCTCTGTTGTTTTTCAGGTCAGGGCTCTGTATCTGTTAGTACTGAATCACTCAGCAGTACTAATATGATCTGAATCAGGTGTGGGTATGTAATTCATGTCAAGTTAGCTAGAGCACATAGTGCATCACTCATGGTGTCTGCAAGAATGTGGGTATTATCTGATCTCACATTAGGTTTACGGGCAGAAAATCAGATTATAAAAATTTGTTAACACATTTGAACCTTAAAGTGACTCCTTGTAGTGGCTGTGGGTACGTTATCATGTGACTGTGGCACTTTTACCTGCTATAAACTGCCCAGAAGTCACATTTATTGCATAAAGGTGTTATTCCCTCCTGCTGCTTTAAATCTCTGACTTAGTCTTTCAATAGCATTGCAGGTCAGGAACAAGTACCGCTAGGTTCATACTTAATTGCTTGCTTTCAAAATCAAATTCAGATGCTGAACTGCTTTGCTACTTTAACATATTTAAGAATAGTGAGGAAAATATATGGGCAGAGTGTTTATTATATTGATCATCAGCAAATTAATTCAAATTTTGATTTTATTTTTTTTCCTTACTCATTTTTTTCAGACAGTTTTGAAAAGTATGTGCTATCTTCTTAAAACAGGGATCAACAGCTCCATGTTTTCTGGCATACCTATGTTAGGCTGAGCTAGTGGAACAGATGCAGCTTCACATTTATCAAAGTACCCATCAAAAGTGTGTCTTCCAGCTAGTCAGAGCCGTATCATAGAATCATAGAATGTATTGGGTTGGAAGGGACCTCTAAAGCTCATCCAGTCCAACCCCCCTGCAGTGAGCAGGGACAATGTCACCAGATCAGGTTGCTCACAGCCCCATCAAGCCTGACCTTGAATATCTCCAGGGATGGGGCCTCCACCTCCTCTCTGGGAAACCTGTGCCAGTGATCCACCACTCTCATATTGAAGAACTTTTTCCTAATATCCAATCTAAATCTACTATTTTCTAGTTTAAAACCATTGCCCCTCATCCTATTGCTACATGCCCTAGTGAAGTAGCTCTTCCCCAGATTTCTTACAGGCACCTTTCAGGTATTGGAAGGTATGGAGGCACCAGTCTTTTAGAGAGACGTTCAGAGGCAGCTGCCCCTGACAAAAGCTGCCAGTTTAATAGCTCAGAATAAGATTTTAGGAAGATGCAGTTTAATGGTTTACAAGCACTGAGAGAAGATCCTTTTCCTTCCAACATACTCCCAATGATTACCTTACTGTTACTTTGAGGTTGGCTCTGCCATTCACATGCCATGAGCCATTCATCTTGCTGACTCAGCAGAGACCTTGTCTATTTGAAGGTAGCAGGAAAAGTAGATAGTGTTGGAGCTGAAGCAGAGTCTGCTTATGGGTCTTGAGCATCAGAGCTGCCATAAGGGAGGAAGATGGCACTTGTAATCATGAGCAGGGGAGAGAGAGAGAGATTTCCTTCTCCTCCCCTCTGCCTCTCCGTTTGTTTTTGTTATGAGCTGTTATGGCACCTTAACCAATCTGAGTATTTTTTGTATGTTTCTGAGCAGTGACAGTTATCTTAAACCTAAACTGGCTGTTTAATTCCAATCAATCTGCATGGAAGAGACCAGAGTTTTATATTAATGTCAGTAAAGAGGTCTTCTGGTATAACTGTAGAGACAGAAGGTAGTTTCTGCTCTGCTTTCTTAAATGCTAGTTTCTTACTGGTATTCCAGGTGTGTGTCTGTCTCACAAGCTCATTTTTCAGAGCTTAGTAGATGATTTTGATGAAGTGCTTATTTAGTGCTTTTTTATAGTGAAGATTCTACAGGTGCAGTGAGTAATTCTGGTTTTTGTTCCTCCTCCTTTAGGTGAAAAGGGTACAGGAAAATCTACCCAAAAGCCATTGCATTACAAAAGTTGTCTGTTTCACAGGGTTGTGAAAGATTTTATGATCCAAGGAGGTGACTTCAGTGAAGGTACGATGTGACTCTTTGAACAAAATTTTAATGCTTATGTAATAGAATATTACTGGAGTTCTGCATAGCGTCATTTACTTTTATTATTCTGTGATTCACCTACTTTTTTCCCTTTTTTCTGCAGAAGAACCTTTACATGAAAACTTACATAATAAACATACAAACTTACACACACCCCACTTACTCTGTTATTTCAGAGTACTAAGTACTTCCTGTTGCAAGGTTTAAATGTGCAGGTGGGATGCTATATCTGCTGCTGGGAAATAAAAGAAGAAAGGGACACTATAGCAGAACACATGGGAGAATACTTTGTTTTCAAATTTGCTTTGGAACTATGAAGATGCATCTTGATCTTCTTTGCGTATGATGGAGAATAATGTCACTGACTTGAACGCAGTTGGATCAGTATTTTGTATTACAAAGCACCTTCCACATAACGTGACTCTTTTTAATCACTGTTTTAAGTTGAAACTGTCACTTTTGCTCTTTCCAGGAAATGGCAGGGGAGGAGAATCCATTTATGGTGGCTTTTTTGAAGGTAAGAGTTCTATCAGTCTGCTACATTTTGGTGTTACTATAGGCAATCACCTTTACATTCTGTAGTCTCTGTTCTGCAAACCTGAACTCCATTGTTTTTGTTAAGATTTTGTCTGGTCTTAGAGTCCTTTGACTGTCCAGTTTAGGTTATTTTAGCATACATGAAAATGACCTGAAATGCTTCGTGCTAGCTTGGTAAGTTCATGTGTGTCTGACAGATAAATGGAACTTCTTTTTGATTGCTATCAAACTGGGTATCCATGTATATTAAAAAAACCCAGAACAATTAAACAACAAAACTGCCTGAAAATGAGGGGTTTCTTAGTAGTTAATGCACAGGTTAAAAATTTGTTTTGCTCCAGAGAGACAATGATCAGAATGTGCAGAATAGAAAGAGCAACAACTTAAAATGATGAGGTCTCTGCGAGTGTTGGTAGGAAACAAATCTCTTGAACAAGAGTACTCAGTCTTTTTGTTTTCTCTTGGGCTGTAAACCACTAATTTATATTTCTCCTTATTAAATTACATTATTTAGAATGGAAGAAATAATGCGTTTTTAAAATAGCTATTATTTTGAATCTATTTTAATACAACTTTTCACTGAAGTGAATAGCAGATTTACTTAATAAGGTTGAGTTTACTTAGATTATGGCATATATCTAAGCATATGTGGTATATTTAAAGTAACTGAAAACACTTTCTTTAGATGAAAGCTTTGCTGTAAAGCACAACAAAGAATTTCTCCTTTCAATGGCCAACCGAGGCAAAGACACAAATGGTTCACAGTTCTTTATGTAAGTATTGTGTTGTCCTGAAACGTGTGTCGTTTACCATTTGTGAGCTCTAAATGTGATCTTTTTAAATATTGAAGATGGCTCCTGTGCAGACCCAAAGTTGATGGTGTTTCGAAGTTGCATGAAAGTACCAATTTTCCTAATGTGCTGTTTAGGGAGCCTGACTGTTTTTATCACTTCTGTGTTTAGTGCTTATTGTCTGTGCAGAAGATCTTTTCGTGTTCTAACTTTGGCAGTAAAGCAAACCTGGCAGTTCCCTGTAAAACTCTTACTGCTTTCTTCTAACCAGTGTTATCTGGAAGGAAGCAAAACAGCTCTGGGGGTTCTCAAAAGTAGTGAAGGGGTTTTTTTGGTCACAAAAAGAAAGGCAGTTCTACTTTTATGTCAAATAACCTGTACATACGGATATTTTTTTCTTCCTTTGATTTCTGATGTTTTTCTAATGTATAGAAGATTATTTCCAGTTTTCCTGCCCTAAGACAGTTGCCTTAATTTTTGTATCTGTTCCTGGTAGTATTTATGTAATTTAATAAATAGAATACTTATTATATCCTACATGAGGATGCTGTCTAAAAATGTATGTGTACTTTTGTTTGTTCAGTAAAATGTGGTAATCAAAGTAATGAATTGAATAGGTAGTTTAATGTGTAAAACATTAAATGCTTTTAGCTGCACGCAAACTTGAATAATATATATTTGTTTTCTTTTAATTTTATTCACTCAAAATAACTTTCACCTTCATATGTGTATATGACAGCTTCAAATGCTGACTGCTTTCCACTAATACTGACTTTGTTTTTCTCTTTAAATGAAAACCTGGAAACAACAGAACAACTAAACCTACACCTCACTTGGATGGGTAAATATCTCTTACCTTCTTACATTTGTTTGAGCACTGCCTTGAGAAAACTACGTACTAAGAATTCTTACTTCTGTTCAAATTCTTCAGACATCATGTTGTTTTTGGACAAGTCATCTCAGGTCAGGAGGTTGTGAGAGAAATAGAAAACCAGAAAACAGATGCGTCTAGTAAACCATATGCTGAAGTACGCATACTGAGTTGTGGAGAGTTAATTCCAAAATCCAAAGGTAAAGTTGAACTGTGCATTTATACAGATGCAAACTATGAGGTAACCTTGTTCATTTTCTTCTTCCTTGTTGATTGCTCGTAAAGATACTTAGAAACTTGTTTGTAAAGGATGGAGGGGCAACTAGGGAAAAGGTGAATAAAGCTGCAGTACAGTTTGTCTTCTGAAAAACTTAAAAGATGTTTATGCAGAAAACATTAAAAAAAAATCATATATGCTCTCTTCAGAGGTTTTCCTGTCTTGGTTTTCCTTATACTAGCTAAATTTTAGTACAAAGCTGGCAAGCACTTGTCCCATAGAAAGCAGAGTGCTGTGTTAAGAAGACTGATGTCAGTCTGACTTCATTTGATAACTGCTGCTTTTTTTGCAGGTGTTGAACTTATTTCAAGTTTCGTTCAGGTAAATCTTCAGAACAAGCACTTAGAGTAGAAAAGCCTGGAATTGCCCTTTAGCAGATCTGCTTTTTAACTGACTGTAAAATATACTCTTAGACAGGAATGTGACAGAATCTGCCTTTCTTTCTGAAAGGGATGCCCTGCTCTGCTATTCCAGAGCTGATCGTGCTATTGGGGATTGGATTCTGCTGCTCTTACAAAATAAGGCTCAATCTAAGATGATGTCAGTCTGGAGAATGTCAGAGGAAAGCCAGGATACATGTTTGGTAGGAGCTATGATAGGGATCATCACGGTTTTTCATTTGTAGCACTCTGCTGATAGGTACTGTGAAGGGTTGCACCAAGGATATTGAAGCACAAGACAAGAATAATTGTTTCTTTGGCCTAGCGAAAATACAGGTATTTAAAGCTGAGCTGCTTAGCTTTTCCTCTCCTTTCTGGTGCAGTTCTGTGTTCACCTTTTGTGATGTCTAATAGGATGACTTTGGAGACTGAAGTGACCTCTTCAATACCTCAGAATTCCAAGCAAAGTTATCTTATGGCTCTTGACTTCTCAGAGGTTCTAGAACTTCTTAGATTAAGTCAGAAGTCATCCTGTGTGTTAAGGCATCACTTTGTTTTTCTGGACAGTACTCAGGGGTATGGTACCTTTTAGAGAATGCGTGGGTGGCGTAGATTAGAAAATAAGATATAACAATACAGATACAGAATGGGTGAAGCCAGTGGGTGAGCTGCCTGCGCTGTATATTTGTCTTCCTTGGTTTGCCACACTCCCTTTTTGGTCTGCTCTAGAACACTTGAAATTGAATGGCTAAATGAAAGCTTTGTCACTGAGCAGTCTGATTACTTTAAGCCATTAGGCAGTGCTGTAAAGTACTTGTTATCAAAAGAGTGAATAAAGTAAATTATTATTTTTTATTATTATTCCTTCAACTTCTCCTAAAAGAGAACAGGCTTCTGGAAGATCTGACTCTCTTGTCCTATCCATTTGTCTGTGTCCTTGTACCTCTGCCTCAGTACTGCTGGGATCCTGGAGACTCTGCTTACTGTAGCTGCTGTGGTGTGCCACAGAGAGAAATTGGTGCCAGGATGATGGGATAGCCCACTCAACTGACTGTGAGGCACAGTTCTAGATAATGGTGGGCAGCAGGGAGTGTTTGAGGAAGAGGAGGCCTTAGGCACCAGGATTGGGCAGGTGGAGGGCAGAGCTGAGTGCAGGGAGATAGAGGCCCTAATGGGCACCAGTGAGCCAGCCCGATGAAGGTGCTGCCTGACAGACCATGGTGGAGATCCTGGTCAGGGCAGAATCCTGCTCTTGAAGGGGAAAGGCTGTCTGTAGGCCCTGCAAAGGGAAATCCACCCCTACTGTGAGAGGTGATTGTGTGGCTGGAGCTGTTTGCTCAACGCACAACATGGAACCACTGATGAGCTGTGCTGGCCTGAGGCAGTGGAGGTAGGAGTAGTTTGTCATCACATCAGCAGAAGGAAATTTGCCAAGCTGAAGCCTAAAGCTGCCAAGTGGAGCAGGAGAGGCCCTTGGACCTGTCAATATATGGAAGAGGCCAGGGGATCCAGAAAAGAGGAACAGTTTCTGGGAGGTGAGCAGTGTCATGAGAGGTCATCAAACAGTGGAACTTTGTAGCACGTTACTGTTGGAGGCAAAAGGGAACAACTAAAATTAGTTAAGTGATTGGTATAAATGTTTTTCTTTTAGGTTAAAGTTGAGAAAAGGCAATTGGATTTTTTTGATATGATGAAGTGCTTCATTAAAGAAGCAGATCTATCTGTGTAGAAATGGATATATTTATGGATGAGTGGATCATGTCTTGACTGAGCTGACTTACTGGATGCTACGTGACTTGAATGATACAGCAGTCAGAATTACAACATTGCAGAGGCCTAGTTCAGAAGTTTTCACCAGAGATGTGAGAGGATGATCACCTAGAAAAGTTGAATGTTTGTCATCTTTTCCTTTGTGGTGTTTTTGTTGTTTTTGAAGAGGTTTTTATTCCTTAAAGTTGGATGACTTGGTGAAAATGAACAAGAGAAGCTATTTGCATTATATGCTATTTGCTATATGCATTGTTAGAGATAATTTGGTTAGTCAAAGGTGTATCTGGAATGTTTTCTAGAATGTAAGACACTGACATTCTGAATCAAAAAGAAGTGAAAGAATTAAACAGGTTTATGCATTTGGCAGTTTTTAGCAAGAGTCTCAAAGAAGATTCCTCATGAAAAGTGTGTTTCTAGAGGATTCTGCACAGAGCAGTGCTAGGCTTGATTCATGATCTTCATTGGTGTTATTTATAGATGTCCCTGAAGAGTCACTGCTCATAAAAGCGCGCTTTCTGCAATTAAGGCAGATTACGGCTGCCTTCATAGTTAATCAAAGAACAATATTGTAATTAGGTCATTTGATAAGTACAATTTTTGGTTTTTAAAGTATCAGTCCAAACTGTCAAGCACTGATACAGAGTACAAAGTTACACATTTAGGAATCATGGAATATCTATGGAATACGAGTGGACTTGGGCAGTGGTGATTCTGGTAAGTCTTTTCTTACCCCTGGAGTTCTCATTTCTTCTGCAAGCTTGTTACACATCAGTGTTAGTTCCCTTTCACGAGCTGGTTGCTGTGAACAGCTGTTTCAGATTTTTCTGTTCCAAAGTACTTTTCTCCCTAGTTAGCTGGCCGCTAGGTATAAACTGTTCTGCTTTAGCTGAAACTGTTCAGAGTTGTGTGGTAGGTTGTTTGTCTACAAAAACATCGATGTGCAGAGGCATTTGTGATACAGGACTCCTCACAGTAACGACGTTACCTGATCAACAAGAATGGTAGTGTTCATCTGTGAGGACTGTGTATAATTTCCATTGTGAGAAGCAGTGGGTCCTTAATCAAGCAGTGAAGCTATTCAGTTTTCTTCTATAAATACGTACTTGTTGCACTCTGTGAATGTCTGTGTGTGTATACATATTTAGACAATCTAAAACTGATAAAATATTACAGAGACTTTTTGTTAAATATAGTGCTTTAATAAGGATGTTGAGAAAAAAATCTGAGAAGAGAGACCAGGTATTTTGGTCTGGACCAACAAGAGAAGTGAAAAATACCATAAGAGACCTGTCCTTGCATTGTGCAAGAAACGAAATAATCTGATGAGAACCAGCTGATGTCAGTCAGCAGGCTGCCCTGAACAGGTGAGATAGCTTGGTACTTCATACTGCACCCAGAAATTACCAGAAGACTGATACAACCTATGAAATCCAGAGGTTGTGTTTCAGTCGGTTGTCAAGAGAAAAAAACATAGGCTGTTCAGGCAGACCTCTGTTTTCTGCTGTGTGAAAACATTGTGTTCTCTGTGTCTGAATAGACTTCAGATGCAGACAGGCTGCAGAGTCGTAATCCTGTCTTTGGTGCTTAGTGTTTTCCCTAACCTGTTTTGTGCAGAAGAGCAGGGGTGGGAGGTTACATTTAAACTGCTTGTATGTTGATGTAGATCAGATAATACCTCTGTGAACCATTAATTCTTTGGATAGAGCAAGCTATTAAAAGCTTTCCAAACCAGGCTGATGCTTTTAGCTAGGATTCATATGCAATTTTAAAATTAATTTCTGTCTGTGATCTGAAGCCTGTTCTAAGGTCTTAACAGGTGTTCTCTTAAAATATGGATTGCTTGCTGTGACGTGGAAATGGGCTGTTTGAACATCTGTATTTATTTTTTGGTATATTTTTCTGTTCGGTGGTGAAGGTTCTGTGTTCTCTGTGGCCGTAGTGTGTTGTGCAGTGAATGATGTGCTTATCTTTGCAATGGCGAAGTGAAATAATAATTGATGCTTATTAGAAAAGTCAGCTACAGCAGCCTGAAGACAGCCATTGTGCTCTTCTGTATTTTCTGGATGGAGCTTTTAATTTTCTGGACAATAGCCTGATAGCAGTTTTGTATCACACTGGAAGAGTATTCATATCATTTAACTGCTCTACCTGAAGCATCGTAACTTAGAAGGCTAGACTTCCTTTGTTTTCAAATTAGTGCGACTATGAAATAGTGTTTACATCACTTTTAATGGTTTAAGTACGTCTCGGATCAGTCAAAGGGCATAGAAAGGTCTGTTTGTTCTTGGGTTATTTGCTGTCAGATGAGTATCACATTGCCAGCAAGCTGCTGATCTGTAGCTCTAGCAGCCACACAAGAAATGGTGAAAGGATGGACTAGTCTGCTCTTTAGCAGGGTTCTTTTTCATGCTGGATGGTTTGTAAGTTATTTGTATCTTTCTGTTTAAAAACACAATCCCAAACAGCACACAGTGAGCTGGAGGATTAGGGCTGATCCAAGAATGGTTTTGCTTAGCAGCGAGGTTGGTTATTTGAATCTTCTCTCCGAGTTGAATTCGATGAGCAATCGGTTTAGTCTATGTGACTTGTGATTTGAATGTTTTCTGTGAAGTCAGGTTAAACCTGAAGCCAAAGAAATTTCTTTTTTACAAATACTTTCTAAGTAAACTTTAAATAATTCTTCATACATAGCTTATGTTGTATAAAACACCATCTGAAAGCTTACATGGTTCTAAAAGTTCTTCACAGTAACAATTTGATACTTTAGGACTCTTTAAATACAAAATAATTGTAAATTTCTTACATATTTCTAGACATATCCTTTATTGTTCTTGGGAGAAATAGTGTTTTCTCCAAAATTTCAATTTATTCTGAAGTATTTTGATGAAGTAGTCTCATGACACAGTTATAAGAAGTTTGAGCAGGTACTAGATGAGTTGATTTTTCTGATATCTGTTTAGAAATGTTTGATACTAAAATGTGTCTCTGCTATTCTAACTTAAAGCCAAGAAAGAAGAAAAGAAAAGACACAAATCGTCTTCCTCATCCAGTGACTCAGAAAGTTCTAGTGATTCAGAATCATCTTCTGATTCATCATCGGATTCTGAGAGTGCTTCAGAAGAGAAATCTAAAAAACGAAAAAAGAAACACAAGAAAAATTCCAAGAAACATAAGAAAGAAAAGAAAAAGAGGAAGAAAAGCAAGAAAAGGTCTGGTCTTGAGATTGAGATTTCGGTTTCGTTTGTTACACATACACCATACGGTACCAATTTCTTGTCCTAGAACTACGGAACAGTATTGTGTGACTAGTGAAGTAGGTATTTTGAAGTTTGAGAGATACTCAGTTTCCAGACAGAAGCTGAAGTTTTTCTGATATGATGGCAGAGGACAGTGTCCATGTGCATGTGTGCACCAGCTGGTGAAGGAGTGAAGGAATGGACCAGGGCTTAGGCATGTGTGGCTTCAAAAGTTGCAGGAGTGCTTGGTGAAATGGGTGGTGATAGCTTGTTTCTGAACTGCAAAACTGATTGTGGTTTCACTGGAAGATAATAAAACTCAGAAGTTACTCTTGCTTCTGAAAGTGTTACTTCTAGTGTAACAGCTTTTCTTACAGTTCAGTGTGATATAGAAGTTGTCATGTTTTTCTAAGCTGGCAGTAAGATGTTAGAAATGTTCGCTGCTTAAACATTGTTTCTGTGGGACCAAGCCCATTTCACCCAGGTTTGTTTATACCAGCTGCTTGGAATTAAAATAGGTTGTAGCCAGTTATATATGCTAGTGTAAAATCTGAATTTGACTGTCCTGATAGTGTTTTTAAAAGAAAAAAAATTAAAAAGCAGTATCTAAATAGAAAGTGAATGTATGTTCAGTGTTATACCACTGGAATTCACAGATAAAAAATGTGGGTCAGAAATTACTGCAGTTGTATATTTTGGAGTGAAGATATCATAGGGGAAAAAATTGCTTCTGAACTAGCTCTGTTTCCTAAGTTTCTTGTGGTATCATTGTGTATTGAATTAAGAGAATTTCTGAATTATTTAAATAGATTGAAAGGTCTTCCCTCATCCAAATAACTCATTTTAAGTATATTTTTTTAATTTGAAAATAAAGCTCATCCAGTGAAAGTGAAGATGAAAACCCAGAAGCACAGCCATTATCTACTGTCCGTCCTGAAGAAATTCCTCCTGTACCTGAAAACCGGTTCCTGATGAGGAAAAGTCCTCCTAAAGTAGATGAGAAAGAGAAAGAGAGGAAAAGCAGAGAGAAGGAAAGAGAAAGGTGATGTATCTGTTGTGAGGCTGACGATGTGCTGACAGTGGTGTGGTCACATTACTGCTTTAGGATTTAATGTTGAGTGAGTCCTTTCCCTATTAAACTATTCCGTATTTTGAGCACTGCTGGATGAAAGATGGATTTTTCAGTTCATTGTCAGCTGTTGTCTTTGTCCTGGAACAAAGGCTTAGGCTCTGAAAGTGGGTTTAGTAAATGGAAAATTTAAAATTACCTATTCAAGGAAAAGAAAGTAAAATGCATTGTAACTTCTCTTAGAATTTATTGGAACTGTCCAATCTGAATCTATAATTTATTATTCTTTCCAAAATGGAAAAATGTAGGGAACTTGTAAAATATTTTGTGGTCATAAAATCAGAAGTTTTTGCTGGGTGGTTGTACTTGTCTGCATTGATAATAAATAAATAAAATTAAATCTGTGTTTTCATTTAGCTTAATTTGTGAAGGGGTTTTAAAATTGGATTTATTTTCTCTTCTTTCTTGATATTATAAATAATACCACTTTCTTAAAAAATTCTTTTTAGTAATCTATCAAATTCACAGTCAACGTACCAGAGGAGGCTGTTAGTGACCAGATCTGGAAGGAAAATCAAAGGAAGAGGACCAAGGGTAAATGCTTACAGTCTTTTCCCCAAAATAAACAAGGTGGTAGCACAGTCTTCCTGCTGGTGTTATCAACCATTTTTATTAGGAAGGTTGATACAAAAAAAACCAACAAGACTTATGCTGCATCATAATTAATTTGGGGACTGAGTCTTGAAGGAAGAAAACAGAGTTTATTTGAAGGATGGCGGGAGGGTGGAAACAAAACCAAAGCAAGAATTTTCTTTGTTTTACTGGTGAGTTCGTGAGTGGAAGTAGCTTCAGAAGGGTTCTGGTGAACACCAGAACCAGTCCGGAATCAGTGCCAGGAATGCCGGGAAGACTTCTCCCCTTTTTCACAGGGGGGAGCTCTCAGATTGGTTCTTCTGATTCTGTGAAGCCACATGCTGTGTGCTGCTTGAAGCAAGTGTTTTTAGTAATAGAAATCTCTATCCCTCGAGTTTTTAGTAAAAACCTTAAAGTGTGAAGTATTGTTTTTGTGTGTTGCTTGTCAAAGCTAAGAAGAAATGCCTTTTTTAGAAGAGTGAGTTGCATTTGTGCTAATTAAAAGCAACAGGAGAAGACCTCTCAGCAGAGTACAAAACTCCTGAAATAGAAGTTACATTAAAAGTAGCTATTTGGACATTTTATATTCCTGCTTTAGCTGAAGTTAGTAAGTTGTTAATGTAAACTTGGAATGTACATGTGAATTGTCACGTTAGGTGCTATGTAGAATCAGCCGCCAGGGATAAAAGTCTTGCTTGGCTGCCACAGCGTGTGAAATGCAAACTTACACCTGAGTTTTTCTTTTTCCCTTCAAGCGCTATCGGACACCTTCCAGGTCCAGATCAAGAGATCGGTTCCGACGCAGTGAAACTCCTCCACATTGGAGGCAAGAAATGCAAAGAGCTCAGAGAATGAGAGTGTCTAGTGGAGAAAGATGGATAAAAGGGGACAAGTAAGATTATTTCTTC